CCCCGCACTCCGCCTTTCTCCATGACCGGGTGTTCCCCCCGCCCCACCCCGTTGCGCACACAGCAGACACAGCGGACCGTGTCGTACGGTGGGAAATAATGATAAGCGTACGAGTCGCAAACTGTCAAAACACACGGCAACGACAAGAGTATGAAAGGAATCTATCGCAGCGGAGATGTTTGCCCTGCTTCGCCTTGGCCTTTGTGTGGCCCCGTGTACATACAGCAGCGCGATACGAGGCGCCATACAAAAAGTACAAAACAAACACAGCATTTGTAACTTTCAGAAAAGAATCTGCGCGCGCAAATTCAAATCCTTCGCACAATCGGGATTTACCGTATGTTTTTTACACTTCACTTCAAGAAATAAATGAAAGACACTTACAATGAAACGCCAGCATCAGCCCAAACCGCCCAAACATCTTGTCTCGGCTCGCTGGGCGTCCCCTCAGTGCGCAGCCACGCTAATTCCTTTTAGCTTCTCGCGAGGACTGATGGGGGGCCGTTGTGGGAGCCTTTCCTCACAACTGGCGTAGGCCGCCAGAGAGGATACATCTGAAAGCAAAAGTGCAAATATGTAAGAATGAGACCGTGCGCGCGCGGACAATAGGCCCCTCCTATATCGCGCAGCCAGCCTAAAGAAATAAAAATATGATCCTCTCAACACCATATGTGACTTTCAGAAGGGGAAATAAAAGCGGGGAGGAACAAGTTGCACACGAGGAAAGTAACGTTCAGAGATGTGTGGGGGAGGGAGGGGGGGGCAGGCGGTGTGGGGAACACAATGTCAGGCGACGCGATGCCGCGCCGCCAGTAAATGTAAGGGACTGAAGACGTTACGGCCCTCCACGTTAGGTCGCGCCGCGCCACGCCACGCCACGCCACGAGAGGGAAGGCTTGCAAATGGCGGCCGTTTCGCAAACGACTTTAACGGGACAGTTTTTCCTCGATCAGCTGGAGAGGGGGGAGGGGAGGGAGGGGGTTGGCCCTCGTCCTGCTGCTGTTGCCACGCACTCCGCCCAGCAGAGCCATACGTATAGGGGAGCGGTGTGCGGTGGCGAGAGGGTCCGGGCACGAGCACGCCACCGGTGAACAAACTGTCATTCAACAAGTCAGAGTGGGCCGATGGGGCCGAGGCCGGCCGATAGGGCTGCCCGCGGCCCGGCCTCGGCCACCACCGCCTAACGGTAATCCCCCGGCCCCCGCCGCGGCCTCGGCGGCCACTCGGACCGTTAGGGCGCGGCGGCCCGCTACACGGCGCCAAACGTTTCCAGAGGAAGTAACACACACAAAATGAAATGCATTTTTCATGAGCAATTCGCCCCACCCGTAACGGAACGGAGGCCGCGCGGCGCTGGCGGCCGAGCAGGGGCCCCTGGTGGTGGCGCTGCGTGTCTGAGGCCGGGGTGTGGCTCGGGGTGTGGTGGGGTGTGGCGAGGCGGGGCGGCCCGACCGCAGCCAGCCAGGTGTAGCCGGCTCTTGCTTTATTCCGCGCTGCATATTCCTGAGCCCCGCCAACACCTCATTCTTATTTCCTGCCTCCCGCCGCCGGGCCCCGCCGGGCTCCGCAGGGCACTCGGCGCGCCTCCGCCAGAAAGGAGAAGCGGCTTGTCGCGGAGCATTAGGAGCCACTTAGACCGTCTTATGCAAATCGGAGCGGGGCGCCTGAAGACGCGACCTCGCGGCCTCCACCATAGGGCCGCGGGCCTCTGGCGGGGATGACGAGGACCTCTGCGGGGGAGGTAACGTGGCCGCGGGCGGGGCGAGGCCGTGAGAGGCCAAGGCCGGCGGCCCCACCAAGGACGTCGAGGACGTGCGCAGGGCCGTGGCCGAGACCCTGCCCTCGGCTCCACGCCACGCCTCGCCATCGCCACGCCCAGGTTGCAGCGGCCGCGCCCCCAGGGCCTTTGTTCCCGTCAGGAGGCTGCTAAAACAAGTCAGAGGCGGTGGTGCGGGGATGAGGGGCGGCGCGGGGCAGCGGGAAAAAAAAGAAGTCGCAGCGAGGCAAAGAGGCGAGAAACGCAGAGGAGGGCGAAAATATAAGGGGATGAGCGGAGAAGGGTTCCGTTCCGAGAGGCGAGGAGGGGAGAGCGAGGACGTCCAA